CAACGTGACATATCCATCCACCTGAAGTATGCGGGAACTCTCAATCCGGACAAAAACACACAACCAGACATATCCATCCACCTGACGTATGCAGGCACTCTCATCCCGGACAAACACACAACCTGACATATCCATCCACCTGACGTATGCAGCCACTCCCATCCCGGACAAAAACACAACCTGAAATATCCATCCACCTGACGTATGCGGGCACTCTCAACCCGGACAAAAACACACAACCTGATATATTCACCCACCTGACGCATGCGGGCACTCTCAACCCGGACAAACACACAACCTGACATATCCATCCACCTGACGTATGCGGGCACTCTCAACCCGGACAAACACACAACCAGACATATCCATCCACCTGACGTATGCGGGCACTCTCAATCCGGACAAACACACAACCTGACATATCCATCCACCTGACGTATGCAGGCACTCTCAACCCGGACAAACACACAACCTGACATATCCATCCACCTGACGTATGCGGGCACTCTCTACCCGGACAAACACACAACCTGACATATCCATCCACCTGACTTATGCGGGAACTCTCAATCCGGACAAAAACACACAACCTGACATATTCATCCACCTGATGAATGCGGGCACTCTCAATCCGGACAAAAACACACAACCTGATATATCCATCCACCTGACGTATGCGGGCGCTCTCAATCCGGACAAACACACAACCTGGCATATCCATCCACCTGACGTATGCAGGCACTCTCATCCCGGACAAACACACAACCTGACATATCCATCCACCTGATGAATGCGGGCACTCTCAACCCGGACAAACACACAACCTGACAGATCCATCCACCTGACGTATGCAGGCACTCTCAACCCGGACAAATACACAACCTGACATATCCATCCATCTGAGGTATGCGGGCACTCTCACCCCGGACAAACACACAACCTGACTTATCCATCCATCTGAGGTTTGCGGGCACTCTCAACCCGGACAAACACACAACCTGACATATCCATCCACCTGACGTATGCGGGCACTCTCAATCCGGACAAACACACAACCTGACATATCCATCCACCTGACGTACGCGGGCACTCTCAACCCGGACAAACACACAACCTGACATATCCATCCACCTGACGTATGCGGGCACTCTCTACCCGGACAAACACACAACCTGACATATCCATCCACCTGACGTATGCGGGAACTCTCAATCCGGACAAAAACACACAACCTGACATATTCATCCACCTGATGAATGCGGGCACTCTCAATCCGGACAAAAACACACAACCTGACATATCCATCCACCTGACGTATGCGGGCGCTCTCAATCCGGACAAACACACAACCTGACATATCCATCCACCTGACGTATGCGGGCACTCTCTACCCGGACAAACACACAACCTGACATATCCATCCACCTGATGAATGCGGCCACTCTCAACCCGGACAAACACACAACCTGACAGATCCATCCACCTGACGTATGCAGGCACTCTCAACCCGGACAAATACACAACCTGACATATCCATCCATCTGAGGTATGCGGGCACTCTCACCCCGGACAAACACACAACCTGACTTATCCATCCATCTGAGGTTTGCGGGCACTCTCACCCCGGACAAGCACAAAACCTGACTTATCCATCCATCTGAGGTATGCAGGCACTCTCACCCCGGACATACACACAACCTGACTTATCCATCCATCTGAGGTATGCGGGCACCCTCACCCCGGACAAGCACAAAACCTGACATATCCATCCATCTGAGGTATGCGGGCACTCTCAACCCGGACATACACACAACCTGACTTATCCATCCATTTGAGGTATGCAGGCACTCTCACCCCGGACAAGCACACAACCTGATATATCCAATCACCTGACGAATGCAGGCACTCTCAATCCGAACAAAAACACACAACCTGACATATCCATCCACCTGACGTGTGCAGCCACTCCCATCCCGGACAAACACACAACCTGACATATCCATCCACCTGACGTATGCGGGCACTCTCAACCCGGACAAACACACAACCTGACAGATCCATCCATCTGACGAATGCAGGCACTGTCAACCCGGACAAATACACAACCTGACATATCCATCCACCTGACGAAAGCAGGCACTCTCACCCCGGACAAACATACAACTTGACATAACCATCCACCTGACGTATTCGGGCACTCTCACCCCGGACAAACACCCAACCTGACATATCCATCCACCTGAAGAATGCGGGCACTCTCAATCCGGACAAACACACAACCTGACAGATCCATCCACCTGACGTATGCGGGCACTCTCACCCCGGACAAACACACATCAAGCGGCGGTATGCACGTAAATCTTCAGTTTTTGCTACCGTGTCATGGCGTGCGTCACATCATAGAACCACCCTCCATCTTCCGGGACTAACCCGTCATTATGGATCCCCGACTGTTTCTGTGACGACACATTCTACTTCTCTACACGCTGTATCGTCCCTGTTATTTAGCTTTCTCAAAACAAAGTCGACAAAGGTGTCTGTGGAACGATTCTGTTGATAAGATGGCGTAGTTATAGCAGGCGGCAGAAATAACAAACAGCACACCACTACATGCAATTACTGAAGACCCAGCTGGAGCCGAGCCAGGGAATCACGTGACCATGCTGGGTGAAAGTAAGAAGGTCAAGGCAGCTTACGAAATCCAAGGTCAGGGTTGCTGTGACACTAATGTAGTTGACGTCATTCGGGGTGTAAAAAATAACTTAATTGGAAATTTGTCTCATGTATGTCTCTGACGTCGCTTACAGGGATACATTTGCTTCATCAGTTACACGCACGTTCACTTGCTTGGTGCTTTTGAGATGGAATCACATATACAGTGATCGGTAGCAGCTCGACTGTTTTGGAAATAACTATAAAATAATGAAACGTAAAATGCTATTTTGATACAGCTAAAATGTCTGAACCTTTCTGGGAATCTGTTGTTTCCATTTGTATTTTACCTCTGTCTTTCCTTGGTAAAAGGGACGATGGGTTGCCTCGTGGTTAAACCATGCGCACGTCTCGCCAAGTCCCAGGTTCGAATCCCTACAACGGTACAATGTGTGAAGCCTATATCTGGTGTCTCCAGTCCGCCATTCCTGGAATCTTGCTAACAGCGGAGTAAAACCACTCTAACTTACTCTGAATAATGACGTTTCAATGTGTTAATTATTGCACTGAATTAATGTCCAGCGCGATCTGGGCTCGGGAACGTTTGGGTGAACATTCCATTACCGTTATCATGCTTATTGGCACTGGCGGTCAACAACTCATTGTGAACAACGCATCGTCAACAACTCATTGTTAACAACGCATCGTCAACAGCGCATGGCCGACAACTCATTGTCAACAACGCATGGTCGACAACTCATTGTCAACAACGCATAGTCAACAACATCGTCAACAATGCATGGTCAACAACACATGATGAACAACACACGGTCAACAACACATGATGAACAACACATGATGAACAACACATGGTCAACAACACATGATGAACAACACATGGTCAACAACACACGGTCAACAACACATGATGAACAACACATGGTCAACAACACACGGTCAACAACACATGATGAACAACACATGGTCAACAACACACGGTCAACAACACATGATGAACAACACATGGTCAACAACACACGGTCAACAACACATGATGAACAACAACATCGTCAACAACACATGGTCAACAACACATGATGAACAACACATGGTCAACAACACACGGTCAACAACACATGATGAACAACAACATCGTCAACAACACATGGTCAACAACACATGATGAACAACACATGGTCAACAACACACGGTCAACAACACATGATGAACAACAACATCGTCAACAACACATGGTCAACAACATATGATGAACAACACATGGTCAACAACACATGATGAACAACAACATCGTCAACAACACATGGTCAACAACACATGGTCAACAACACACGGTCAACAACACATGATGAACAACAACATCGTCAACAACACATGGTCAACAACACATGATGAACAACACACGGTCAACAACACATGATGAACAACAACATCGTCAACAACACATGGTCAACAACACATGATGAACAACAACATCGTCAACAACACATGGTCAACAACACATGATGAACAACACATGGTCAACAACACACGGTCAACAACAAATGATGAACAACAACATCGTCAACAACACATGGTCAACAACACATGATGAACAACACATGGTCAACAACTCATGGTCAACAACACATGATGAACAACAACATCGTCAACAACACATGATGAACAACACACGGTCAACAACACATGGTCAATGGACATAAGGAAATTGTCATCACAGATGTGAGTATGCCATGTTTCCGAACAGGTCGTTCCTGTGTGTAAGCAGTTCGCGCACACACTGCTTTACTTCGCGGAAATAGATCTAAAAAGCATGAAAAAAGCATGCATGTGTGCCACGTGTCGACAAACATGTCATTGTAATTCAGTTTGGCATTAGGATTAGGATAGGCAACATCGTTAGACAGAGTAGTCATTTAGTGATCGGGATAATAATAGAAATTTGGAAAAGAAAAGAAACTTTGTAAATGTAAATTGAAGTACAACAGTAATTCTTGTCTGTAATAAAACCATCGTAAATAAATTAGTGTCTTTGCCTGTCTATTGCACTTCTTCTATTTCTGCTGACCAAAAATGGTAGCAGAGCGTGGTTAATTCGTTATTACTCATGGTTACTGCCTGTTAGTGGATCATGGTGTTATTGGTGCAAGTTAGATTAGTTTGGATGCAGGAATAGTTCCAGTGCGAGACAGGTGAGTTAGTTGTTAGAAACAAATGTGTTTATAAGACTTAGGTTCATACTACCAAACAGGAATAGTGTAAGGAAGAAAATGGCTGAACCTCAAAAAGCAACCTCAGACACTGTGCTTATGTTAAAATCTGAAACTATAATGTCGGACTTTGGTAAAAGTAATGAGTCAAAGCCAGCTGTGGAAGAGGTTTTGTTAAAACTCAAAAAACAAAAAGCCAGTGCAAAGACTGCATTTACGAAGGCGAAAAATAAACTCTACAATATGACAGAAGGTAAGGATGTCCCAACTCGAAGGTCTGTTCGAGATCAGATGGATCAGTTGTGCATTGTCCAAGAACAAGCAATGGAAGTAATGCTGATGTTGTCTGAAGAATACTCCAAAAACAATGATGTAGCAAATTCTAAAAAACTTAGCATTGAAATAACTAGACTTGAAGATGAGACTGAAAGTGCACAGCAACATGCTCAACAGTACTTAGACTGTAGATCAGATGCTAGCTCTGTACTAAGTTTACGAACAGGGATGTCAATGTTGTTCAACCAGAAACAAGAACACGGTAAAAGTCAGAAACAAGAATGTCCCGGAGAAAAAGGGAAGGACGTTGAACAGGCTCAGAATGAGTCCATAAAGACTTTTGTAAGAAGTGAACATGAATTAGGTCAACCAAAGGACATGTTCACGGTTGGTAGGTCACATGTTGAACCCAGTTCTCTTTCGAATAAACCAGACAAAAGCGCGATTGGACATGACATGTGGAAGCAGCTGCAGAGAGTTTCTATTCCAGTGTTTGCAGGTGATGTCAGGTCTTATCAGAGCTGGAAGGCAGCATTCATTGCATGTATTGATAACTCACCAGCAACACCAGAATACAAGCTATTGCAATTGCGGCAGTATTTAGCAGGTGAAGCTCTTAGAGTGATTAGGGATTTGGGGCATAATGCAGTTGCTTATCAAGTAGCTCTTGAGAGATTAGAGAGGAAGTTTGGTGGCATGAGGCGCCAGATTGCTTTACATCTTGAAGAGTTAGACAATTTCAAACCCATTCGCCCAGGTCATGCAAAAGATTTAGATAGATTTGCTGACATGCTGGATGTTGCTGTAGTTAACCTCCGTGAATCTGACAGAGTAGAAGAATTAGGAAATGGTCTTCTTTATATGAAGTTGCTAAAAAAGATGACTGAAGCCATGGTTACAGAGTATCAACGTTGGGTATTTGATAGACAAAGACAAGAGTCAGTTGAAACTCTGAGAGAATGGGTGCTCCAAGAAGCAGAATTTCAAACAATTGCAGCTGAAACCATTCATGGTGTCTGTGATAAGTCATTAAAATCTGAACATAAAAGAACTCCTCGTACATTCCTTGGGCATGACAGTAACCAGAAACCTGGTGGGCATTATGCTGGAGTAAAGAGTTTGTGCATAGTATGCAAAGAGCCACATGATGTTTGGAATTGTAGAAAGTTCACAGCTTTAAAAGTGCAGGACAGATGGAACAAAGCAAAGGAGTTAAATCTTTGCTTTCGTTGCTTAGGAAGCAACCATCGTGGTAAACACTGTTGGCGAACAAGATTATGTGGCATGAATGGATGCAGAAGCAACCATAACAGGCTGCTACATGTGGATAGGGACAGGGTTGATTCAACTGCTGATGTTGAAAAAGCTTCAGTTCCATTAAACAAAATAGAACATACAGACAATAGTTCAAAAGAACAAGTAGAACGATCACATGCAACTAACATGGCATCGAACGTTGCTTCAAAATCTTCATTCATTGGGCTTAGAACAGTGCCAGTAATCCTCAAACATGGGAATCGCAGAGTTACTGTTAATGCTTTGCTAGATGACGCCAGCACAAGGTCCTATATTAATGCAGACGTTGCTGCAGAGCTAGGACTGCAAGGTAAAACTAAACAAGTCACTGTGAATGTGTTGAATGATGAGAAAGCCACATTTGAAACAATGCCAGTAGAATTTGGACTGGAAAGTAAAGGTGGTGAGGTTGATGTTAATATTTCTGCTTTCACAACAACTAAGGTTACAGGTGATTTGCAGGTTGTTGACTGGCAGAAATATGGCAAACTATGGACACATCTGCAAGATATAGACTTTCCTAAAATTGCATCCCCTCCTATTGTCGATGTCCTGATAGGCATGGATAATTCAGAACTTCACTATTCCTACTCAGAGGTACGTGGGAATCCAGGTGAACCTCTTGCACGGTTAACGCCCCTTGGCTGGACTTGTATAGGGAACATTGCAGGGACAGGCTCTTATAATCAGACTCACTTTTCTAGTACATTCTTCTCTCATTCAAATGCTGATGATCAAGATTTGAATATGTTGTTGCATAGGTTTTGGGAAGTTGAGAAATTCCAGTCTAAAGAGACTGAAAACATAAGCCCTGAAGACAAGAATGTATACAACAGGGTGAAAGATGCCTTGACGTATGAGGATGGTCACTATCAAATAGGCATACCATGGAAGAAAGAGGTACATGCCTTACCATCAGATAACTATCAGATGGCTCTAAGTCGTCTTGAGAGTACAGAGAAGAAATTAGAAAAGGATGAGACTATAGCTGCTGCATATGATACTGTCATTTCACAGTATCACACAAACGGATATATCAGGAAAGTACCTACTGAAGAAATGACAAATACAGGAAAGTGGTATTTGCCTCATTTCCCGGTTGTACGTTTGGATCGTCTCACAACAAAAGTGAGAATTGTATTTGATGCCTCAGCCAAATACAAGGGTATTTCTTTGAATGAAGTTATCCACCAAGGTCCCAAACTGCAGAGGGAACTTTTTGATGTATTGTTACGATTTAGACGCAACCCAGTAGCACTGATGAGTGATATTGCCGAGATGTACCTACAGGTCAAAATCTCTCCCGATGATCGGCCATATCACAGATTCTTATGGAGGTCCATGAAACGAGATGAGCAACCCACAGAGTATGAGTTTAGTCGAGTGGTATTTGGGGTGAATGCATCTCCTTTCTTAGCACAGTTTGTAAGTCAGGAAAATGCCAAGAAGCATCAGGGTGATCTCCCATTAGCAGCAGAAACTGTGCAAAAAGCAACATATATGGACGATAGCATGGACTCTGTGGAGGATGACAATACAGCTATTGAGTTGTATAGACAGTTGGTAGATCTTTGGAGTAGAGCTGGGATGCGCCCTAGAAAGTGGCTTTCAAATTCCCACCAAGTACTCAATCAGATACCTGTTGAAGACAGATTGTCAGAAGTTCAGTTGAACAGTAGCTACTTACCTTCAGCAAAGACGCTCGGTCTCATGTGGATAGCTGAAAGAGATGTCTTTACTTTCACTTCCCACATACCTGAAATGAACTCCACGATATCTAAAAGAATCTTTCTTCGTCAAATAGCAAAGCTATTTGATCCTTTAGGATTTCTTGCACCCTTTACTGTGAGGGCAAAGATCATTTTGCAAGAAATGTGGACAGCAGGGTTAGATTGGGATGAAGAACTAGACAATAATCTGAAAAGGAAAGCATGTCAGTGGTTCATGGAACTGGAAGATCTTGCACTTATCCAGGTACCAAGATGTTTGCGCTGTGGTCTCGAGGTCAAAGAAACTACACTCCACAGCTTTGTAGATGCATCTGAGGATGCATATGGTGCTGTAGTGTATGCTGTGAATACTTACCAGAATGATGAAATCTCCAGTGTCATAATTGCTGCAAAAGGACGAGTAGCACCACTGAAAGCCATTAGCATTCCACGCATGGAATTAATGGCAGCTGTTACTGGACTCAGATTATCTGTTGCAATAACAAAGGCATTGGAAGTGTCAATAGATATCGTAACATTTTGGACAGACAGTTCAAATGTGTTGTCATGGATAAAGAACCATAGCCGAACATTCAAACCCTTTGTTGCAAACAGAGTCAGTGAAATTCAAGAGATTACGAATCCATATCAATGGCGGTATGTACCAACTGCTAAAAATCCAGCAGATATGTTGACCAGAGGAATAGCTGCATCAAAGTTGATTGATAATCAAAGTTGGTGGTCAGGACCCCCTTTCTTGACTAGAGATGAAGGTGAATGGCCCCAAAGACTATCTGAAATAGAAAGTAAAAAGACATGTAAGCTAGAAAATGAAACTCTGAAAGAAAACAAGATCATTACAATGGTAGTGAACAAATCATCGTGTGATGAATGGAGACTAAAAGCTACAAGATACTCAGATTGGAAAAGACTGGCAAGAATCCAAGCTTGGGTATACAGATTCTTGAACAACTGTGTTGCACAAAATCATCAAAGGATCTCCGGGGAACTAACAGCAGAAGAAATTGAAACTGCACAGTTCAAAATCATAGCACAAGTGCAGAGAGAAGAATTTCCAGCTGAATACTCCTGCCTTGAGAAGAGAAAACCATTGCCAACCAACAGTAAACTCTTGGGATTACAACCGAAGTTGGATGAATGTGGAGTGATGAGATCTGATGGACGATTGGCTTATGCTGAGCATCTATCTCCAGAGTCAAGGTTTCCAATCATCTTGCCACGCAGAAACTGGATCACAAGATTGATTGTGAAATCTTATCATGAGGAAGGACAGCATGTTACCGGAACTAATCAGACATTAGCGGCACTCTCAGCGAAGTTTTGGATCCTCTCTGGTAGAGAGGAAATTCGAGAATGGGAGCGGGTATGTTCACAATGTCGAAAACAGAAAGCAAAAGTGGCGCACCAGATCATGGCTCCTCTCCCAGAAATGAGACTAACACCTTCTCTACGTGCTTTCACACAGGCTGGACTTGACTTTGCTGGACCCTTCTTTACAGTACAGGGGAGAGGAAAAGCAAGGCAGAAGCGCTATCTTTGCCTCTTCACGTGTCTAGCTTCAAGAGCTGTGCATCTTGAAATCGCACATGGAATGGACACAAATTCATTTCTTAATGCCTTTTATCGCATGGCCAGTCGCAGAGGACTTCCAGAGGACATTGTGTGTGATAATGGGACAAACTTTGTTGGAGCAAAAAAGGAGCTCAAAGAACTGGTCTCATGTCTGAACAATGATGCTGTTAAACGAACATTAGCGAATCGTGGTACCAAGTGGAAGTTTAATCCTCCCTGTGCGCCCCATTTCGGAGGTGTGTTCGAGACCATGATCAAGGCAGCCAAGAAAGCTATCTCTGCTATATTAGGTCAAAGTGACGTAAATGATGAAGAGCTCATGACAGCGTTTATTGGAGCAGAAGCCTTGATCAATTCACGTCCACTCACCTATCAGACGTCACATCCTCAGGATGATGTACCCCTGACACCGAACCACTTCCTCCATGGACAAGTTGGAGGTTCTTTTGCTCCAGAATCAGTGGATACAACACCCTTTAACCCAAGGAAACGCTGGAGACGGATACAGGATCTAATACGACACTTCTGGAGCCGATGGATGAAGGAGTGGATACCCAGCCTCAACCGAAGAAGGAAGTGGCTCACTCACCAACCGGACATCAACGTGAATGACATCGTTATGGTAATATCGCCAAACACTCCACGTGGACATTGGCCCATGGGAAAAGTTATCAAGACTCATCCAGGGAAAGATGGTTACACCAGAGTGGTTGACATACAGATTGGTCAATCTGTACTTACTAGACCAGTGACGAAAGTGTGCCCTCTTGAAACGGACAGCATTAGCTGCTAAAGTACCAGATGTCACGGAACAAGACAATACAGGATTCTATGGATTCTATTGTGACATTCGAAAGATGAAAATGTGTGAAATTGATGGATTTAACATGAGAAACTATCCAATGTGAGATATTCAATTTTGTGACACAACCTTGACCAAAAGAGTGTGTAATCTGCACATATTGTGGTGGTGTACTGTGAACTCAAAATGTGAATACTGTTTCATAAAAATGGATATATTGTGACATTGGATGTATTCAGTGCATTATTTGTTGAACTTTTCGATACGTTTGTGGATGTGATCGAGGATATTATTTCGATTCTGGAAAGTTGGTTACTATTTTGTGTTGATAGACTCCGTTCTATCAAGGAGGGGAAATATGGACATAAGGAAATTGTCATCACAGATGTGAGTATGCCATGTTTCCGAACAGGTCGTTCCTGTGTGTAAGCAGTTCGCGCACACACTGCTTTACTTCGCGGAAATAGATCTAAAAAGCATGAAAAAAGCATGCATGTGTGCCACGTGTCGACAAACATGTCATTGTAATTCAGTTTGGCATTAGGATTAGGATAGGCAACATCGTTAGACAGAGTAGTCATTTAGTGATCGGGATAATAATAGAAATTTGGAAAAGAAAAGAAACTTTGTAAATGTAAATTGAAGTACAACAGTAATTCTTGTCTGTAATAAAACCATCGTAAATAAATTAGTGTCTTTGCCTGTCTATTGCACTTCTTCTATTTCTGCTGACCAGTCAACAACACACGGTCAACAACACATGGTCAACAACACATGATGAACAACACACGGTCAACAACACATGATGAACAACACATGGTCAACAACACACGGTCAACAACACATGATGAACAACACATGGTCAACAACACACGGTCAACAACACATGATGAACAACACATGGTCAACAACACACGGTCAACAACACATGATGAACAACAACATCGTCAACAACACATGGTCAACAACACATGATGAACAACACATGGTCAACAACACACGGTCAACAACACATGATGAACAACAACATCGTCAACAACACATGGTCAACAACACATGATGAACAACACATGGTCAACAACACACGGTCAACAACACATGATGAACAACAACATCGTCAACAACACATGGTCAACAACACATGATGAACAACAACATCGTCAACAACACATGGTCAACAACACATGATGAACAACACATGGTCAACAACACACGGTCAACAACACATGATGAACAACACATGGTCAACAACACACGGTCAACAACACATGATGAACAACAACATCGTCAACAACACATGGTCAACAACACATGATGAACAACACATGGTCAACAACACACGGTCAACAACACACGGTCAACAACACATGATGAACAACACATCGTCAACAACACATGGTCAACAACACATGGTCAACAACACATGATGAACAACACATGGTCAACAACACACGGTCAACAACACATGATGAACAACACATGGTCAAAAACACACGGTCAACAACACATGATGAACAACAACATCGTCAACAACACATGGTCAACAACACATGGTCAACAACACACGGTCAACAACACATGATTAACAACACATGGTCAACAACACATGGTCAACAACACATGATGAACAACAACATCGTCAACAACACATGGTCAACAACACATGATGAACAACACATGGTCAACAACACACGGTCAACAACACATGATGAACAACAACATCGTCAACAACACATGGTCAACAACACATGATGAACAACACATGGTCAACAACACATGGTCAACAACACATGATGAACAACAACATCGTCAACAACACACGGTCAACAACACATGATGAACAACACATGGTCAACAACACATGGTCAACAACACATGATGAACAACAACATCGTCAACAACACATGGTCAACAACACATGATGAACAACAACATCGTCAACAACACATGGTCAACAACACATGATGAACAACAACATCGTCAACAACACACGGTCAACAACACATGATGAACAACAACATCGTCAACAACACATGGTCAACAACACATGATGAACAACACATGGTCAACAACACACGGTCAACAACACATGATGAACAACACATGGTCAACAACACACGGTCAACAACACACGGTCAACAACACATGGTCAACAACACATGGTCAACAACACATGATGAACAACACATGGTCAACAACACACGGTCAACAACACATGATGAACAACACATGGTCAACAACACATGGTCAACAACACATGATGAACAACAACATCGTCAACAACACATGGTCAACAACACATGATGAACAACACATGGTCAACAACACACGGTCAACAACACATGATGAACAACACATGGTCAACAACACACGGTCAACAACACATGATGAACAACACATGATGAACAACACATGGTCAACAACACATGATGAACAACACATGGTCAACAACACACGGTCAACAACACATGATGAACAACACATGATGAACAACACACGGTCAACAACACATGGTCAACAACACATGGTCAACAACACATGATGAACAACACATGGTCAACAACACACGGTCAACAACACACGGTCAACAACACATGATGAACAACACATCGTCAACAACACATGGTCAACAACACATGGTCAACAACACATGATGAACAACACATGGTCAACAACACACGGTCAACAACACATGATGAACAACACATGGTCAACAACACACGGTCAACAACACATGATGAACAACAACATCGTCAACAACACATGGTCAACAACACATGGTCAACAACACACGGTCAACAACACATGATGAACAACACATGGTCAACAACACACGGTCAACAACACATGATGAACAACAACATCGTCAACAACACATGGTCAACAACACATGATGAACAACACATGGTCAACAACACATGGTCAACAACACATGATGAACAACAACATCGTCAACAACACATGGTCAACAACACATGATGAACAACACATGGTCAACAACACACGGTCAACAACACATGATGAACAACACATGGTCAACAACACATGGTCAACAACACATGATGAACAACAACATCGTCAACAACACATGGTCAACAACACATGATGAACAACAACATCGTCAACAACACATGGTCAACAACACATGATGAACAACAACATCGTCAACAACACACGGTCAACAACACATGATGAACAACAACATCGTCAACAACACATGGTCAACAACACATGATGAACAACACATGGTCAACAACACACGGCCAACAACACATGATGAACAACACATGGTCAACAACACACGGTCAACAACACACGGTCAACAACACATGGTCAACAACACATGGTCAACAACACATGATGAACAACACATGGTCAACAATACACGGTCAACAACACATGATGAACAACACATGGTCAACAACACATGGTCAACAACACATGATGAACAACAACATCGTCAACAACACATGGTCAACAACACATGATGAACAACACATGGTCAACAACACACGGTCAACAACACATGATGAACAACACATGGTCAACAACACACGGTCAACAACACATGATGAACAACACATGGTCAACAACACACGGCCAACAACACATGATGAACAACACATGGTCAACAACACACGGTCAACAACACACGGTCAACAACACATGGTCAACAACACATGGTCAACAACACATGATGAACAACACATGGTCAACAACACACGGTCAACAACACATGATGAACAACACATGGTCAACAACACATGGTCAACAACACATGATGAACAACAACATCGTCAACAACACATGGTCAACAACACATGATGAACAACACATGGTCAACAACACACGGTCAACAACACATGATGAACAACACATGGTCAACAACACACGGTCAACAACACATGATGAACAACACATGGTCAACAACACATGATGAACAACACATGGTCAACAACACACGGTCAACAACACATGATGAACAACACATGATGAACAACACACGGTCAACAACACATGGTCAACAACACACGGTCAACAACACATGATGAACAACACATGGTCAACAACACATGATGAACAACACATGGTCAACAACACATGATGAACAACACATGGTCAACAACACACGGTCATGTAATTTGTGTTATATGCGTGTAGTATGACAAGGTTCGCCGGAACAAACACCGGGACACGCCCTTTTTTTAATTCAAACACAGTTAGTTGTCCGAAGCCCTTTGATTCCTGATCTACTCATTGCATCTATAGAAGCAGTTTGTTACTCTTTTATTTTATTATAGCATTTTGTATTTAGCAGTCCCATGTTAAATGATCCAGTGTTTGCAGCAGGCTGACTTGCTTTGAGTTTTAGTAACCAGTGTGTTGTACTTTGTTGGACCTTTCACAGAAGAAGGAAAATTGAAAATAAGAGTGAGCAAGTGAGTTTGGTTTAACGCCGCTTTTAACAATATTCCAGCTTCACACATTATACCCATGTCGGGATTCGAACCCGGGTCTTCGGCGTGACGAGCGAACGCTTTAACCACTAGGTTACCCGACCGCCCCTTGAAAATGAGAAAATTGAATTACTTGAGATGTTAGAAGGTTGTGATTTGGTAAATACAAGACTTTCGTCGTTCGATGATGAAAGGATAAAACCAGTTAACCGTAATTAATATCAAGCGTACATCACAAACTACAACACAACATACACAGGACAGAACCCAGTCTGACACCAGCGCGTATGACGCCACAATGAAATACATGAATCAGTTAATGGCCTGGCACTTGTGACCGATACCGAGGAGTGAAATATGACAACAATATCCCAGGTAGCTGGCACTTCTTTGAAGTCATTCCGTGGCATTCTCACGTGCAGGTGTAAAACAAATCCCACGTGTTGTGAGATCTCCCGAGCTTTGGGAGCCCTGACTTTCCCACGTGTTCAGATGTTCCGAAGCGGGGGTTCTCTGTTATCTTACCAAGACGTG